TCAAGTGGAAACAGAGGTTTGTGTGTGAATCTTTATCCATCATAAGTGACGTACAATATTAGATAATTTCAATGATAAAGATTTTGGGTTCATGTGGTTTTGGCATATTTTTTAAAATATCATTTGAAGTTTCAAATTACAAAATGTTTCAAAAGTAAAAAGCAAATAAAAAGTAAACGTACTTTGATATTTTCCATACATTTTGTATACATGTGAGTGTACACATGCAATCATTATATTCAAGGTTTTAAAATGTTTTTCAAGGTTTTTATTTATGAATTTCATGAATCAAGTGATTTAAGTCATTTAAAAATATTAATAAATATAATAAATAACATTACAAATATATTATTAAATATAAACGCTAGAATGTCTCTGTGTATAAGGCAAGGTTAAAAAAAAATGTGATTGATTCAGTCAGTGTGGAAGAACTTGACTTGTCTGGAGAAAGCCAAGTCCTAATCCCAGCTGAACACCTCTGGTGTGACTTTAAATTCAGACCTTGAGCCAAAAACTCATCACCAAACACCAATGACTTGTATATATGCATACAATCATTTTAGACACTTCCAAAACTGGAAATACAATTTTTAAATACATGAATTATGTTTCCATCTTTGTTGCCACCGTTTTGGAAGTTCCTTTTTCTGTTCTAAAGAAGGGGGTGTCCCAATACTTTTGTCCATATGTTTGTACAAGTCATGTATGCAGACCAGTCAAGATCTTCCACACTGACTGAATCAATCTTTTTTTTTTTTAGCCTTGCCTTATACACAGAGGCATTGTTATGTTAGAATAGAAAAGGGTCCTGTTCAAACTATTGGTATAAAATTAGAAGCACACAATTCCCTAGAATATCATTATATGCTTAAACATTAAGATTTGTACTCGTGGAAATTACTAAAGTAGTCAAACCTGTTCATTAGAAGGGAGGGTCCCAATACTTTGGGCAATATAGTGTATGTTTGGTGTGGTAGGGGGCCCAACCTCATATTCTTTCATAGGGCCCAAAATTGCTAGCGGCGCCCCTGTACTGTGTAGTAATATAGCATCTTGAACATGGCCTCTTTTCACTATATGTTTAAAGAGTTCATATTTTATATTTCACTTTGACAACTCCAGGATTTAATGACTGTTTTTTTCTCACCTTTTTATTTAGGTATCAAACCTACAAAAAACCCTCAAGGCAAGTTCTGCTTCCCCATCATCTGGCCCCGCCCCTGCTGGAGCAGCATCCAATCAGGATGCAGACCAGCCAGCTGAGCCAAGAGACCCTGCCTCCTCTCAGGAACCACGGCAACCAGGAAAAAAGAGTTCAAAGGTCAAAGGGTAAGTGAACTGCATTTTAGGGTTTACTGCCTCAGAATCCCCTCTAGTTAGTGTCTATAATGTATTCTGTAATGTACCATAACACTAGAAAGTATCACAGTGGTTTATATTAAAAAAGCCCTGCACAGTTTTTTTGCTATTAAAACTACCAGCCTCACTACACATAAATCATACATCTCAGGGAGTTAATATTTACTAATGGCATTTTTAAGCACATAGAATGTGATTTATGAGTATTTGTGTGCGCTGTTTCGGTGAGCTTATGTACTGCTTCCTGCCTTTAGTTAAGTGTGATGTATAAGAAATCACCCACAGGCTTATAGTCCTAATTAAGCCCCAACGAGTTTAAAATTGTCTCTGTCCTGGTTTGGAAATCTCATGTCAGGATGTGCTCTGGAAAGAGAGGGGCTTTTGATCACCACTGCTTTTTCTTTGTCACTGAAGAATGTCAGTAAAGAAGAAGTATAATTTATTCAAGGCTGATCTGAGTCCAAGGCTTTAAAGGCATCTCAGTGGAGACTCGTCATTAACATTTCAGGACTACTCCTTGTCCATGTGGGAAGTTGCCGCTAATTTTCCAATAATGATTATCAGATTATTAAAATATACATTAAAGGCATGTCCTGGCTAAGATACACATTAAGATCATTCCCTTTTGTGGCATATGAAATTAATTTAGAGTTGCACCTTTTTTAGGCATTCAAAATGAGTGTAAATAGGGCCAGATAATTAAAGGAATAGCTCACTCAAAAATGAAAATTTACTCACCCACAGGCCAATATGTAGTGGAGTTTGTTTTTTCACTGGAACGGATTTGGAGAAATTTAGCATTACATCACTTACTTGCCAATGGATCCTCTACAGTGAATGGATGCCATCAGAATCAGAGGCAAAAAGAATCAGAAAGCTGATAAAAGCATCACAGTAAAGTGATCAATATGACTCCAGTTCATCAGTTGACATCTTGTGAAGTAAAAAGCTGCATGTTTGTAGGAAATAGATCCATCAATAAGGCGTTTTAAATTTAAACTGCAATTTCTGGCCAAAATACCAATTCATAATCCATAATAACACTTCCTCCAGTGAAAAAGTCCATTCCCTGTTGTCAAAATCCATAGACTTTTTGTAGAACTGTTTTGGACCGTTTTCGCTTGTAAAGGGTGCTTGATCTGTGCATATTTCTCTCCTGATTCAGACAAGATGACTTTTTCACTGGAGAAGGCGATATTATGGATAGAGGACTTAAAGTTAAAAACGTCTTAATGATCGATTTGTTTTTTACAAACACAGATTTTTACGTCACAATACATAATCATAATCGTAGATTACTTGTGGATTATTGTGATGCTTTTATCAGCTGTTTTGTGAGCAAGTGATGTAATGCTAAATTTCTCCAAATCTGTTCCAGTGAAAAAACAAACTCATCTACATCTTGGATGGCTTGAGGGTAAGTAAATTCTCTGCAAATTTTCATTTTTGGGTGAACTAATCCATCAGCATTAAATATGCACCATTTATAGCCACAAGGAAAATCACAAAGTATCATTATAATATCAAAATTTCACCTGAACAATTCTTTCTGTATTTTTCAGGCTTCGTGGGAGCGGAAAGATTTGGTCAAAGTCTAATTGATCTTAAGCGCTGAACTCAGTCTTCAGTAACCCACTCACAGACAGACATATTGTGGACTGCTTGCTTGGATAGACAGAAAAACAAAACTTGCCACTTCTCAGACACAAACCATCATCATAATCTAACACAAATACACCTTTTACACAATGCTGGGAAGCGTGTTTATGTACATGTGTGCTGTAAATGTCATTTAATTTGACTCCTACTCCTTTTCCTTTTCGTGTTTGTTTTGTTCGTTATTAAATCTGGATGTAAATTGATGAAGCCAATGAATAAATGATATCCATCTGTCACCCTGTGTAGTCTCTGGCTTTCATGTTTCCTTTTCTCTAATGTTAAGTGCTGCTAAATGTTTCGTCTCAATGGGGGCATGTCTGCTAAGAGGTCATGACATTAATTAGCCACACTTTAATGTCGGAGCCCTGAAATAACATCCTGGTTTCCTCTCTTTCTGTCTCCCTCTCAGCACATACGCTCTTCCCTCCACTGTGTTATGCAAAATGCCCTTTATCCAGCCATTAAGCTTGACTAAAGCAATGTTTCTCTCTCTGTCCTGCATAATGGTCTGTAATGGTAGCGATTAACTTGTGGTAGCCACTCAAAAATGAGGAGAACAATAAAAAGCAGAGAGCAATGATCTACTTTTACATTAACCCCTGCCTCCTCTCTCTTTCTGTCTGTAGAAATCCTTCCACCTCAAAATCCATGATCCTTTTTACGCACACACCCTCTTCTGTGTCTCTATAAATAGTGGTGTTAATTTCAGTCGGTGTGAAATTAACTGTTCTCGGTCTCTCAGCTCTGAGCAGATGGGAGCTGTGAACTTTTGCTGCTTACATACAGCGTGTGTGCGTCTGAAGTGAACGTGTGAAGTGTCTTTGTGTCCTGGTGTTTTGTTGCTGTGCAATGGCTAATGAGTGTTCGTGGTGTCCCTTTGGCCTGGCTGTTTGGCGTGCGTGATTGTGTGACTCACTGTCATATAGGCAGTCCTTTCAAACACCACACCAAAAAAAAAACACGTTTTAAAACACCAGAGATGGCTTTTTATTGACTTAATAGAACACTGAATCACATTTTTAAGGCAGTGCTACATAAATGATGTGAAACCTCTAAACATATCTCACATGGTGTAGCTTCTTGTGCATGATGTGAAAAATTAAGAGAGAATTCAATCTGCTGTGCCCATAAACTATAATGGCACATTAGTTTGTTTTTCCCCTCTCTGTTGTAATTTTTTTTTCACTTCATGAGTTACATGGTTATTTGAGAGGGGCTGATTATGATTTCCTTGGAAAATACAGCTTATAGCAGAATTTCTTCTGGTTTAAAGTGAATATATAAAATTTATCTTAATATATGTTCTTGGTCATATTGTGAACAATTCATCATTATTTCAAAGAAAAAAAGTTTGTCTTTGAATTAAATGTAAATAAAATGTACAAACTTGCTTTTCCTCAAATTTCCATTTACAAAGACAGACCACACAGTCTATAGAGTGGAAGTAAAAATCCCATCCTGTTTCTCCGTAGGAGAATTCATTTTTAATGATAATTTATAGACTATCAAAGACAGACCTACTGAGAGCTACAAGGTTGTTAATCCATGGTATGTGTTTCTTTTGAAGCACTCAGCCTGCATTATTAAGATTTTTTTTTTTTTTAATCATGTTCAACAGCGGAATTTTTTTTACCTATGATCTTTACGCCTCCAATAATCAGAGAATCGTGATAAGCAAATAGTGCCAAAAAATACTTTACCACCTGCACATTCCCATGAATCACTGCACATAATAGAAAAACATAATAGTCAGTCTCCCTACACTCTTAAATGACTTAAATATTTGTATAATATGCATATTTTGCCATAAATGTAAAATATATTGTTTTTATATATAATCAACATCTTTAAATCAATAGTTTTATATTTCAACATCATTAAGAATTCAACCATGTCATTTGCAATGCATCATGGGAGTGTAGGTCTTTCCTTCATCAAAGCCGTTAAGTACACAGTCTTGCACCTTTGTCTTTTTATCCGATTTTTTTACTTTTTTGCTTCAAATGAAAGTTTGCAATGTTGTGATTCAGTTGGTTGATTTGGTTCATGGCTTATAACTCTTAAAGACTTTATTTTAAATCCCTATGGGGAAAAAAGAATGGGAAAATTACTTCCGAAATCAAGCCCGCTGATAAAGTAGGCGGACACTGTTGCACTGTATTGGATAACGTTAACCCCTGATTAGCCAATTAGCTATCCACGCACTGATTTTGCAAATTTGCATTCAGTCTGACTCCATTCTGAAAAAGAACGCCAGTTTTTCACAATTGTCCTTTAGAACGTCCTTCCTTAATTTTTCCTGTTGAATATCCTCTTTTATTATCAAATTAGTCAAAATACAGAAGTAAACACTGACGGCACAACTGACTTCAGGACAGATTTAAAAATGTTTCTATCGTCTAAAAACCCAAACCCTCCTGATAGTTGTGGTTCATAAACAAGAAACCCCAAGCTGCCTCGCTAGCCATGGGTTTTTAGCATTGCGATAGATCAAACAAACTTGTGTGGCATGTTTTTTTAATTGCTTATCATCAAACTAAATATGCCATGGAAGCGCCAAGCTTATTTTTCAGTATGTGTTCACACATGTCCTTAATTGTGCTTTCCATAAACTCAACATGAAAACATCACACACATCGACCACTGTGGTGAGTGCTAGCTTTCTGCTAACCAAAAAAGACCCCCGAGAAGAGCTATATGGCCATGATTTAGAAGTATAACACTAATAAGAACCATAACAACACACTTGGAATAGAATTACGTAAATTTCACGAACACCTCAACAGATGTTGAGCCAGATTTACGAAAACGTTCGTCAGATAATTAGTGTAAATTATAAGGTAACACTGCAGAGGTGTTTCCAGATATCTGTTTATATTAGCTGACGTCATTGCAGTCCACTGTTGCCATGGGACACGGAGCCATATGAAACAAAACACTATAAACAAATGATGTGAATTATATTTAACTTCAAAATAACTCAAAATAACATTCATTAAGCTCAAATAAATGCTACACAAAGTGTGATAAAGGCAGCGGTGGGCAGCTGTAACTTTGTATGCATGAGATGCAAGCATGTCACGCCGGTTACTAAATTAATGACTACATACATCACAGCTTATTCCAGGATCAGAAGCTAATGATTGTTTTTATGGTAGAGGACTTAGCATTCCCAGAGCCCTTCTGAATGGCTGCGTTGAGCTAATTAGATTAATACTGTAAAAACGACACTGGAAGAGCCACTGGACCACTAAACCTCACAGTCTCCATCAGAGTGTCCAAACAGAAGTATTTATCCATATATGTCTATATACATGTTATGTACATTCGGATGGCTTGCCCACGTGTTCACACCAACGGCCACCCCAAAGTCTGTGTCATGCCGGCGGGATTTGATTATCATGCTCGGAAACAGTCAGCTCTTCAAAGATTGACCACTGGTATCCTGCAGTGTGGGGTAAAGAGATGAAGAAAGAGACAGCAAATTAAATTAATAAGAGTCTCACTCTATTATCGAGTGTGAGATTAATTCTGAAATGCACAGAGCAGCAGGAAGTGGGTCGGATTTCATGAATGGCATGCTTTCTTTCACTCTCTCCTCGTCTCTCCTGTTGAAATATTCACAACAATTGAGGAAAAAACCTCCACAACAACGCCTAACTGGCTGTTTCGTATTGCAAGTCATTACCACTGATCTAACAACACTAACATACTCATTTACACACCATTTTCACAGACATGTGAAATCAGCCATACATACAGGGTATCTGCATTTTTACATTTAAATAGATATTACATTCATTAATAGAACACATTTTCATTGACTGCATATTTTTTAAAGATTCTGACCAATTTTGTAACAAAACAAAGATAAAAATATAATATTTTAGTCATTAAGTAATGAGGTCTAAACCACATCAACACATTCAACTGAATGAATAGTAATCACTAAAATACTTTTTTTTTTCAAATGAACAGGTATATTTTGCATCACTAAATGAGTTAATGGAAAAATAATAATGTAATATTGCTATTAATTTAATAATTAATTTACTAATTAATTATTTTATAAATATAATAACATTTTAAATTGTATTTATTTACATAGGTATATCTAACAATATCTGCAGGAACTAAAATACAGTAAAAATGCAAGTTCAAATAGTTAGGCCTGTTTTCCATATATTTTCCATTCAGTGAGTTCATGAAGGAATAATAAATGAATTTTTTTAATCTGTTTGTTTGTTTGTTTATGGGAACTAAAATACAGTAAAAATCAAGTTCAAACAGTTAGGCCACTTACAGTTTTTCACTGAATGAATGACATTTTTAATCTTAATATTTATTTTATGTTGTTATAATAATTTAATCTTGATATTATAATTTTATTTATGCAACAATGTATTAGTACATAATACACAGCAATTTTACCTAGCCTATATACATACACATTTTAATTCTTAGTCTTTCCTTAAACAAATTAACAACATTCAGAACTTCTTCTGTGCTATTTAGAATACTTTTTGACTTTTTAAAAAGGATCCACAGACACCCTGACATGATTTTAAACGAACAAATTAAATCAGTCATTTAGTATAGGCCCTAGTTGTGTTTATTTATTTGTTAGGAACATGTTCTTTTATTTATGTTGTTCCCTTTGACGGTGTCTGGTTTACCAGTCTTGTTATCTCTGGCTTTTCCTCTTTCACACACACACACACACACACACAAATCCAGTCTTGGCACCCTGTCCCACAGGCTTACACACACACGCTACCTCTCTCTGTCGGGGAAGGATGGAGTGCTGTGCAGTGTCTGCCTGCTGTCCTCCTGAGCTATGGACCGAGAGACAGCAAGGGAGAGAGGCGGAGAGCGCTGAGAGAGACTGCGGTCGTAACTGAATGAAAGAGAGAGAGAGAAATTAGGAACGAAGTGAACGAAAAGACACTGAAGAAGGTGAGAAAGAGACATGAAAAGAGAGATTAAAGAGTATAAGGGGAATGAAGGCAAACACTTCAGAGACACTGACGGGAAGTTCATTCACTCACTGGCTTAATTTCATAGACAGCCTTCAACGAGAAAAAAAACAGCGGGGGAAATAAATCGCGCGAAAGTGAGAGAGAGACGCTGAAATTATCAGTTAAAATCATATTTGTCGTCCAGCAACCATGAGGAAGACAAAGTGTCGCAGACACCGTGTGACGTCCCATGTAATATTAATACCCCACACACCACACGCACTTATCTTCAGTGACTCAGGAGTGAGTTCACTCTATACCTCTGCTCTGATGGGATGACGGACGGAGGGCTGGGGGTTGTAAAATGAGTGCGAGGTGGGTGTCTGTCAAGGCAAGTGTGTGAAATACAGAGATTAATTGCGGAGATGTAGCTTGCGTATGCAATAAAACCGCCCTCGGCTCGCTCAGATGAACGTCGGTCTGATCTTCTACGTGAGCTGCGGCCTCACATTAACATAAACCTGTCAGGAGTTCGCGATATGACGGTTTTAAGCCTCTCTATCGATTTTACAAACAAGCTCACAAACATTCCCATAATGTCTGATTTGTAGTAACTTTACCTGCACTATTGCTTTGCCGCAGCATAAAAAGGATGTGATTGGCTGAAGCAATCCGAATCTGATGAGAAAACAATTACGAGTTGGCGATTTCGTATATGAATTTGTGATTCCCAAAGAAACATTTCTTTTTTAGAATGTAAGATTGAAGGTCCACCCTGGCTTGAAGCCAAAAACGTGCCCGCCTTCATGCTGGCCTGTGTACTGTCTGTAATTTTAGTCAACACAGTTTGCTGATGTCTGCGCACATAATGGCGCGTGTGTGTAATTTGGGCGCTTGAAAATAACATTTAAATGCGTCTATCCACACTAACGGTCAATAGAGTACACTTTAAAAGGCTTGCATGCTCAGTTGTGTACGAGATGGAGTGAATCGTGGAAAACTAAGTACAACCTGGGCCTAAAACCTAACTGCTTAGTTGGATAGTGTTTGCGAACACATGCGGTCGACTCATGCGCACTAGAAATTTTCTAGTGTCCAATGTCTGCGCTATTTCTCTCCAGAGGTTATTAGCAATAAAATGTCTTAAATTAGAGTTGCTGGTATCTCTTAAAGGGTTAGTTTACCCAAAAATGAAAATTCTGTCATTAATTACTCACCCTCATGTCGTTCTAAACCCATAAGACCTCCGTTCATCTTCGGAACACAAATTAAGATATTTTTGATGAATTTTGAGAACTCTCTGACCCTCCCATAGACAGCAATGTAATTACCACAATCAAGGTCCAGAAACGTATCCACTGAATGTAAACAGTGTATGCTATTCTGTGTCATCCGCTGGTGCGGCTGACACAAAATAGCATAAGTTGTTTACATTCAGTGGATATTCTCCAAAATGGCACCAGGGTGACGTGGAGGAGACAAATTGTTGAATAAAGTCGTTATTTTAGTTTTCTTTGCGTACAAAAAGTATTCTCATAGCTTCGTAAAATTATGGTTGAACCCCTGATGTCACATGGATTATTTTACCAACCTCCTTGCTACGTTTCTGGACCTTGATCGTTTTAATTACATTGCTGTCTATGGGAGGGTCAGAGAGCTCTTAAAATTCTCCAAAAATATCTTAATTTGTGTTCTGAAGATGAACGGAGGTCTTACGGGTTTAGAACGACTTGAGGGAGTAATTAATGAGAGAATTTTCATTTTTGGGTGAACTAACCCTTTAACCCTCACACGCAAGCACTTGTCATGGCTCTTGTTGTTGTTCTGTCTCTGGGGTTTCTTTATCGACTGTGAAACAACATCTTGTGGACAAACAAGTGCAAAAACATTGAAGACACATGTGCGAGCTGAGCGTGGTTAGAAAAATCGGGCTTCACACGTAGGCTATATGTGTAGCTATGTTGATGACATATAGAATGTATGTATTATTTTGATGACAAAATTTATGTCACAGCGCACAATGCATATCCTAGGGCTCCAGAGTCAGACTGCGACTAAAACGGTAGCATTTGCGACCAAAAATATTAATTTGCGAGTGAAGTTTTTGCTGAGGTCGCCACTGGCGACTATATTTACATGTTATAACTTAAAAATTTGCATGTAATGCCCTTTTTTCCTGATTGTTTTGCGATCACATCTTTTGTTACGTTCACGTATTAAACTGAGACGAAGTGTGCGCATCAAAGTTTTAGTGGAAAAAATAGTTTCAAACAGTCCTCATCTCTGACGCACACCTGCTAAACGCAGCTCAGTTGTGCAGCGCGAGAGAGATAGAAATGACGGAGACGTGCGAAGTGAAAGTGCAGAAAACAGCGTCTATTTCGTGCACAACTTGAACAAACTACAACAGGTAAAGCTGTCAGCTGTGCGGATATTGGCAATATCGTTAACAATTCTCGTTTATAATCATTAATATGGCTTCTTAACAAGATCTTATCTATGCTGTGTTCTGTTAATGCGTGAACTTCATATTATTTGAAGCGCACTTGCCGTCCAGTAATCGCAAAAAGCTTTGTTACTTTTTAATTAAAAAAAGTATCAGCTTTAAAATGATTCCAAATTCATAACGAAATTTAAACAATAAATACAGTTTTGTTTTTTGGCGCTCTTTAATGCGGCTGGCGCGTTCGCTTTAGCGCCTCAGTTCAAGCGGCAAGTGAACCCATTTAATCTTTCTCTTTACTACTATAGTACATAATAAACACGAATTAACATCAAAAGGTAGGCTATTTTATAAGAGAGCCTACAGTACAACTTACTGAAATGTCTCATGTAAAAGCTCAATCAGTGTGTCAAACTGAGGAAAACGGTTAAAGCTTGTAAACATTGCAACGCAATAATACATTTACCTCAGAATAACCATTCGGTGTCCATAAGCTCATCAGTCAGCTAGAAAAATAAGCATTTTGCTATATTTATGCGCTATTGCATATTAATATTTTTTACTTAACCTGTTGTCTACATGATTCAACTCCTATAAAATTGCATTTTACTAATTAAGAAAAACAGACTGAAAGTGTGAAAGACATACACTCTTAAAAATAAAGGTGCTTAAAAGGTTCTTCACAGAACCATTTTTGGTTCCACAAAGAACCATTCAGTCAAA